TAAAATATATAAAATATAAAATATTATGTGCCTGGGAAGTCAAAAACATGATTTTAGGGTATATTAATGATTTTTCGGACATATAATGACGATAAGGAACAGGATATCGTGAATCGGTGATAAAGAATTTGGACTTTGAATTGGGTAAGGTTAGTGGAACTACAGAAGATCTCTTCTGGCAGATTTCTCTACAGTCTTGATACATTAGAAACAAAGGAGCGAGAGACCAGAGGAGCAAATTTATGTAGTCTAGTAGTAGCCAATCCAAATTGATCGAATATGGACTGTGTGGTCGGAATGGCGGGATGGTTTCCCAAGAATTTGTACTGTACCTAGGGCACTCAAGATACTTGAGCATAGATGATACAAAGCGCTCGGACTTCTTAATTCTAAATAGATACACTAGTATTTTTCAGTATTTTCTGACACAATTCCCCGGAAAATCTTTGCTGAAATGAATGGCTTCTTGGAAAATCTCTCCGTCAGAACTGGGTGTATCCTTGGGTGCATCTTGAGTACAGTACCTGCTGGGAAATCAAAGCATTGAATTCTACCGGATTCCTGTTGTTCTAGACAGTATTATTTACAGATACTTAAAACAATTATAACTTAGTTAACATAGTAACTATAAATACATGTCCAATTTTTTTTATGTAATTGCTTCTGCAGTCGCGTGGATCTGGGTTTCAATCATATGCCTTCATGTTACACTCATTTGTAGTGTGGTGTATGTATTAGATACTAGCTTCACAATCACACAATGAGTTGTTGTGCTTTAATTCTGTTAAGACTTGATTATACATTTCGAGGTCAAAACTAACTCTTTCCAAAAAACAAGACATTGAGTGACATCATTCATGAAACTTTCTAGCCATCCCTTCTTCCAGTATTCAATAAATCGTACAGTTATCACATTGTACATTCAGCTTCTTGTTTGCAAGTTTGTCGTTCAGGCGGAAACATGAAACTTTTGTTTTGGTGCCATAGGCTTTTAAGTCGCCACTAGACAGTTATAACTGATACCCTCTAGATTCTCTTTGTAAACGGATAACTTCACGATAATCTGAATGTCTGAATGTGAAGACGTTCAAAATTATATTCCCTTCTCTTATAGCGTATAATAATTGAGAAATAATAGATCGAGGTAAGAAAAATACTAGTACTATACCAAAAATAAAAGCACAGTACAGTAATAATAATCTGTACAGAACGCAATCATCTTTCGCGACAGACCTTCTTCATCCTTCAACTTAGAAATATTGAAAACAAAAACTCACAGAACAGCAGACAGAAAGAAAAGTATCAGCAGCTCAGCAATAGTCTAGTTGAATAGTGTTTTCGCATTTTGTCGCAGCAAACAAATCATATCGAACTGACTGTTGATTCAACGAAGCGCTAATGTAGCGATACTTTATTTTCTGCTGAACGTACATGATCACTTTGAGCGCTACCAGGGCGGTCGTCATTTTCTCCGTCATAGCCAAAATATGTTCCACTCTTGATCAAGCGACACATCACATACTGTTCCTATGGAGTTCAGTGTTTTGTGTTAGCTTGGCCCGGTAGGAAAACGATGCCTTGTTAAAATAAATTGGAAATTTGCTCATGTCCAGTCCATCCCAAAAAAGGATCTAAAACCGCCCCTGACAACTGAAGGCCTATAGCTCTGCTTTCTGTTATGAGTAAGATGATGGAGAGGTGCATAAATCGAGAGCATCTGGAGCACTTCGAACGTCACGTCTCGATTAGCGACAACCAGTACGGTTTCCGGCACCAGAGATCCACGGAGACCTCCTGGCGCAACTGTGGAGCAAGCCCATCCAGACTTATGTTGTTGCTCTTGATATGACAAAATCGTTCGATCGGTTGTGGCATTCTGCTCTCTTATGCAACCTTCCATCCTATCACCTCCTTCCATGTACGATCATTCCGATCTATACATTTGCTGATGACAGCACTCTGCATGGAGGAATTTTGAGTGGTCAAGTCGACCTCTGTCGATGAGCTGGAGAAAAGAGGACGAGCAGTGACTTCATCTCTGACAAGAGACCTGGACTGCTTGAGGACGCAACAATATAGTACAGTTTAATATCTCCAAAAATAGTACTGCTCACACGTTTGTGATGCTGCCGCCCCGACTGCATTATCCATGCTCGGTGCTGTTCAGAAGAGGGCTGTCCAACTGACCGATGACTCTTCTGTAACTGACAGTCCCAAGACCATTTCGCACCGACTGGTTGTTGGTGATCTGCTCTCTCCCACCGGCACGGCAACGGGCTTTGCTTCTCAGAGCACTCCTCCATGATGCCCACTCCAACCGTGTCGAAGTTCGTACATCCAGAAAAGGACGATACGATCGCTCCTTTCTCTAGGGTATCGAGATTGTGGAACAATATACCCAATCTTTTCTCGGTTTTACTACTAGCCTTAGGCTGTTCAATAACAGGATTAACATTTTTTTAAAACCTCCTCAAAGCAGCTGCGGTGCGCTGGAATTTAGGTTTCTGCCTGTTTCGGTATTAGAAAATTTAAGGCCCAATAGAATTCTAAAAAAGGAGCTCCTCCTGGCACCTCCCTGTTTATTGAGAAAGCCATTATTGATCTTGCATTTTATGCGGGCGCCCAGTATTTGATTTATTTCTCAAACTAGGTACGATATTCCATGACGTGGCCTCACATTCTGAATTACTCTGTACGTATTGTGTAATCCGCATACAATTTATGTTTTGTATAGCAAATGTAGCATAGCCTTGACCTGTCTCGTCTAGACTATGGAAATCACGGACAGAATCGAGAAAGTATCTTCTAATCCGAAAGTTTTAATCATCCATCGGACTTGGATTCTTATTCACAACGTTCGGTCTTTAATCTGACTGTGCTGCGCCGCGACGTTCGATGGCTAGCGGCAAAATTAATATGGCCGAGAGTTTCTCTTCCCTTTTTCTATTCTTTTTTCTGTTTCCTTTTCCATTGTGTGCCGTGGTCTACCGCTCTCGTCTTATTACCGCCTCCTCATCGTCACAGAAAAATAAACCAAAGATTCTGAGTATATCTGTCTACACTATTCACTGTCACTGATGTCCCTTTGTGCTTTTGATCTTGCATAATCACTAGAGCTTTCAAATATTTTTTTTTAATATTAATAAGCCGTATCCTTTGTATCATCATTCTTTTACGTACCTTGAAAGTTTAGTTCGAGGTTTAGTTGCTGGAATGATGCTTTGTCTTGGACTATCAATCAGCAGTGTATTTTTTAGAGAAACATTAAAAGTCCCAGTTACGAAATGATAACAGCAGGAAAAAATATCTCTAAACCGCGGTAATCATGCTTGAAGACGTCAGTTCTAAAGGTTTGGTTATTTTGGCGGAACCGATGGAGGCTGTATACCAGGAGAACCGGCGAAATGAATGAAAAACGACCCCAAAGCTTGACGCCTGAGGGTGTAGTGATCGGTATGTACCAGCTACTGCATATGCGCAGGTTTTCTGAGGTTGGGAACAATTTTAATCACAAACCGACAACTTATGCTGATACTACAGTCTCATACTAAACTAAACCGTGAAATCTTCCGCATGGCCCTAAAACCTAGAAAGGTGTACGCTTACAGGTTTTACGAATGAATTCTGTTTTCATAGTCATAAATCACAGTTTTCATGGCTGGTAACAGAAGTTATTAGTAAAATCTGTAAGTTGCCCCCTGGCTATTATAATTAACTTTTGGGATCCTACACGTGAGATTGCACAATTTTAGTTTAGTACCAAAGGATAGGTAATAGGATTGTAGTTTCCTATATTTTTACTAGGAATACAATCAGGATGTCTGCTAAATCTGCTGCAGTTTAGTTCCACGAATTTTGTTTATCAAGACGTTACCTTTTCTAAAGCACCTGGAATAAATTCTTTCATATCTTAGTTCTTCTTCCATCAAGGGACCTCATCTTCAGTGACTTAATCCATAAATTTTGTCCGTGTTTGGTCAAAAGATGGGGCTCTTCACCAACATATTGGAGAATAGCAGGAATTGCAAGCAATGAACATGTTACTGTTCCGTTTAACAAATCATTATCAAACAAGCGATAGCTTTCCCCCAGTTATTCACATACCTGTATAGCTAAATAATAGAACATATTTACGTCTATTACAACAAGGATTCAAAGAAACAACGAAAAATAGTTGAGGTAAATTGCAATGACCTAAATGGCAATCCGTTTGTTGGTGTTCATATGGCGGATCTGTCAAAGCACAGCGTTGCCAGATGGGTCGAACAGAATTTCTGTAGAACAAAAGAAAAATCCCGCAAAATTCCCCCAAGTCACAAGTAATTAATGGACAATGGTAGATTTGGTTCAAAGAGCGGGGAATGCTTTATATATGCCAAATGTGTGGTGTCTCCCACAACATTATATCCCCAAAAAATTTTCTAATTCCTAATAAAAAATCCTGCAAGTGTGAGGGAAAATGCTTTAACATGGCATCCCTGCCAAACCACCACTGATACTCGAGGCGTCAAGTTGCGGGGTCGTTTTCACAGCACGAACACTATTGGCGTTGTTTTTCCTGGTATACGAGGGGGTACCAAAAAAAAATATTTTTTAAAAGCTATTTATTTTCAACTTTTTCACAACGTAACCTTATCTCCTTCAAAGTACTGTCCACTACAACTAATACACTTGTCCCACCGGTGCTTCCACTGCTCGAAACATTTTTTGAAGCCTTCCTTAGAAATCTCTGACAGCTCGTCCCTCGTTTTTTTCTTGACCTCTTCAATGTCGTCAAAGCGGCGTCCTTTTATGCCCCTTTTCATCCATGGAAATATAAAAAAGTCCCACGGAGCCAGGCGAATAAGTGACAAATCCTATATTTGCTCCCTCTACCTAGTCCGAATTCGTTGTTTTTTCTGAATCAAATAATTTTTCCAGGAATTAGAGCTTCTACATAGATATTCTACTATTTCCTAATAATAGAACTAGTATATCACATAAATTAAACTTTTTTCCAGGTGTATGATCGGGAGATTACTGAGGGAAACTTTACTAATAATAAATGTGTGCTCAATATTTGTTCAAACAGAGGATTTCCTTGAGGTAAGCTAGGTAGGAATAAAACTAATTTCTTTGTTAGCTGAGAATGACTGCTAAGTCGTTAGGAGTAAAAGAGATTTCTCGGGAATCCTATGATCTTGTATCCAAAACTATTTTCTATTAGGCTAAGCGTCATACAGTTTTTTATTTTGGATCGAATACACACCAAAATAGTTATTTGTTTGGCGTCGTTCATGCAACTGCCGTTGCGTGCGGAAAAGTATCACCTTCCGTAAGTGTTAGGTATCTATACGAATTTTTTCTACCAGGGTGCGGAAAATACTCACTTTCAACACGCATCTGAGTATAGTTATCCGCGAGGAAAAGTGCTACTTTCTGCATGCAGAAAGTGAGTACTTTCCGCACTCTGATAGAAATAATCTGGCACTACACCTAGATAGGGATCCGTAGGTCGTCCTTTGTTCATGAAAAAATTATTATGTGAATTTACATATGTTTTCGTCGTATAGTTATTCGGAAAGGATATATTTTCAAAAGACTTTTTTGTCAATTATTTTCTAATAAGGTTGTGCAAACGACCAAGATAAGTAGAAGCAAAGTATTGAAAAAGATACGTCAAATCTATATAACGACTCTCAAAATACTTGGTAAGGTAAATATCCAAAATTATTCAACCATTTGCAATATTTTATGTAAACTGGAAGATCAGATCTCACCTTCCACGTTAGTGTGTGTTCAGTGAGGAATTTCAAGTCGAAGTATGATTTCGTGAACAAATCTCTCATTTTCGTGATTGACTGGTCTAACTTTTCTTTGCTTGGCCCGTCCATAATCTTTCACCACAAAAGAACTACTAGGATTACATCTTAAAGTAATCGAAGATTTTTTTAGTTTCCTGAAACGCCAGTGTTATGGTTGAAAGTCAAGTCCAGTTTACTGATTACATAGAGAATGTTTTTGGATTAATAAAATATTACATTTTGTGGAATAATGGTGCTTCTGAACGAGGAATATTTATGACCCGGCCATATATTTCTGATATACTCGTATCAGCTATATCTCGGATATATCAGCTATATCTCGACTAAATTTTAGCAACCGGCGTACGATTTTTCTGATGAGCGCATCCGTAACAGCGAGTATGATTAGTAAACAACATCTTCAGAGACAGAAAAAACAAACCCGCATCTCGTCCATAACGTGGAAACGATCTAACCAATTAATCTACAGCACCAGCAGCCACCCAATTATCAGAATTAACTGCTGGAGGCAAATTGAATCCTACCCACGCAACTGTTCCTCTATTCTTTCAAGCAGTGCGATGCCCCATCTGGCGGCATCCAAGTGAAACAACCCGGATTGGTAAGGCATCTGCAATAGCTTTCTAGTTACACCACGCCGCCTCGTGGTCATACGCCTCGTGCAAAGACTTTGGAGGGCTGAACGTCCTTTTGAGAATCAGGATGCTTATCCCAGGCAGTCCTGTTTTTTTACACCGAAGCAGCCGAGCAGGCAGAAGCCTACATGCCAGGGCACTGCAGCTGCTATGAGGATTCCAAAATGTCAAGTCCTGACCAGAAGCTTTGATGAAGTAGAGCGACAAGATCACCCGTCTTATGGTGTTATGCTTAAGTGTTACCTCTCGCATAGAATAGGGAACCCTTTAAATCGACGGCACTAGGGCATTGGAGGGGACGTCCATGGTGGAATTGGCAGCAAAGATCTTGACAAGCACTTCCACCTTAGTATTTGAGTCGGTTACTATCGTTCCATCCTGGCACGGAAGTGGTGGAAGGCCACTATGTGAGAAGTACCTTTCAATCTGCCTGGTCAGCCTCCAGAAAGACTGACGGCCATTGTGCGGTGTTATTACCCTGTGCCCAATTTTTACATCGTGCTGGTCTTTGGCTTTGCGGACCGCTTCGTAATATTTGCTGGACTCGACATCGGCTTGTCTGTTCTCTACAGTGGGGTTTTGTAAGAAGGTTCTGTGTACCTTGATCTTCTGCTGACGAGCAGTGTCGCACGATTTATTGATTGAGTCGTAGGACCCTGGCTTCACTTTAACTGTACGAGGGATGTATTCTTCCATTCCAACGTGGATAATTTCGGTTATTGATGAACAGACAGCCGACGCATCCGTGTAAGCGAAACAAACAGATGTCCAAGGGAAGGTGAAGAGAAAGCCTCTGAGCCCCTCCCAGTCGGAATGTCTGAGCGGGGTTTCTGCTGCCACAGCGGGTTCTAGGCTTCACAACACCCTGGTCTGAGTTACCCATGGAAGACAGGGTAGCAGTTCTGTAAAGGATAGAATGCGTGGTCTGAGAGAGATTTAGCATGTTATTGGCGTGTGATGAAACGCGGGGGTATAAAGTAGGGCTCGTCACCAGCTGGTTCAGCCCTTGGGTCATTGCGAAAGTTTCAACTCCACGAACTGCTGCATCGGTCTTGTTTGAGTCCAACCAAAGCTTATTATGGGCGTTGGGATCACCGAGAAGAATTACCTCTGAAGCAGGTGATTCCTGCACAGGAAGTCGAACTTGACAGTGAGGTATTCAAGTTGGTCAAGCCTAGTTATGGTCCGAGGGACAGCGATAGAGGCGGCAAATGAATTTAGGGGAAGTTTTGAAGTTGATGCGAAGAAACATATCCTTCCGGCCTGATTCAAAAGAAACGTTTCTGGAGCAGGAAATACTGCTGTGGATAAAAGCCACAACTTCCCCGTTCTTCCTTAGAAGCCATACGAGTATGATTAATCAGTGCAGAATCTGAAATTTTGGTCTCCGCCAAGAAAAGCATGGCGGAACAATTAGACTGCAGGTAGTGATGAACAGCATCAATGTTGCTGTTAATCCCGCAGATGTTCGTGAAACTAATTTATTATCGCTATTATTTCCTTGAGTCCACCCTCCACCCGGACACTCCGAGAGTGGAGTGAGCTTATGTCCAGAATTCTTAGTACTCTTGCTCGATGTTATTTTAAAATTGTGGTAACATACTGTATAGGAATGTAAAAAATGGAAAGAAAATACAAACCTGGAAGACAGATGAATAAGATACCTACAAGTATATTGCCAAAACATTGTCAATTATACTTGAAGAAGCTCAACGGCTGCATTATAAAGAGAAATTTTAAACACATTTGAGCAATTTCTCGGTAGGTTTCGCATTCAAATCGGTAGTTCGGTAGCTAAAATCGGTAGATCTACCAAAAAATCGGTAGTGCTGGTAGCACTGGGTATAACCGTTGCAAGCTTTTCCCAAAACCTGAGCATCTTCTTACATTAACACTTATAGATCACGATGATTTGATGATCATGGCTTCCCGCGAATGCTACATGTGCACGGATTGAAGACGGGACTGTGCGGTGGGATACTGAGAAGGAATCCGGGATGTGAGTGCGTCCGAGAATGCCGGGTAGCAGCTATTTGGAAAACGGAGGCCGAAGCAGCCAGAGCTGTGCAGACGAGAGATATGCGCTCGGGATAACTGAGGGGGGGCAAATGGGGACCGCTGGAAGTTTTGTTTCTGCGGGGGTAAGGGGAGCATACAGAATTTCGAGGAACGGGACAGGGAACATGTTAGGGTGTTGAGTGTCCTTGGTTTGTTCGAATAATGGAATCATTTAAATTTATGCAAGACATAAAGAAGAAGTAGAAACGGTAATAACCATCATCCCTGAAAAATGAATGTGTAGCTAAATAGCTCTAGCTTTTTAGTTCCTATGGTAGCATTTATTAAGGTACAAAATGGCGTGAAGAAGGTTAACTTTTCATTCCCTATGCCACGTTGTCATCAGTTCATAAAGGATTATGTCCGACTCCTCTGAGATAAAAGTTACTCAAACAGGCTCATTCAATTAAAATTTGCTGATTTAGGAGGCTTTTCTATATAATTTTGGTGCTTTTTGAGATTTGGCTCCGTGAGAAAATATGGTACCACTCGCTCAAAAAACTTCGGAGGCAGCTACGGTTTCACAGTTATATCCTGCCGATAGCCTTCTCCCTTCCCCTGAGAAAAATGTTTGCGGACATCGAAATGATGTCTACATCTGATGTCATCTGGCGTGGATGACGATCGACAGTAAACATCCAGCATCCAGTCGAGCAGCGGAGGTCGACTGCTATACACATGCATTGGCAGGACCGCGAAGCACGTATGATCGACACGCAAATGTCGGGAATATTTCTTCTTCATTCTAAGTATTAAGGATAAATATACAGGAAAATATATGATGAGTGAAATATGTGTAATAGAATTACCACCTCTGGAGGTGTATAAGTATATGTGCGGAAAAGTGGCACTTTCGGAACGCTGACAGAAAAAAATTAATCAGAAAGTTTTCAATGTGGAAAAATGTAAATTTCAATGACTATGATAAAAAATTCCAGGAGGCATCTATGGAATATCTAAAGACTTCTTAATCCCGCTACAATTTTTAAAAAACCGCTCGCTTTAAAGATAGAGAGAATTACTTATGCTAAGCACATGTTTGGTATGAATGCCCTTCATATACCTATATGGCTGCAGAAATGAAATTGCGAGGTTCTTCCCATTGCGTCAAGTGAGCAGTGACTCCCCATTACAGAATGTTTAATTTGAAGCGAGAAATATTCTATCCATGATTATGGGTCACTTAATTACCATAACTGATCCGCTTCACAGCTTCTACACCAACAACGAATATTCGAATCTGAAGCTTCTCCCGAAAATCACAAATGAAACTGAGGAGTTGGAAATGCATCACGAACACTGCATCTGTCGCATACTCCCGATCATTCACGAATATATGACAGAGTCCTGCTGAGAGCGTCATTCAAATTAAAATGTTTAATTGTTTTTCTACATAAACTAAATTACCTAAGCTGATTAAATAGTACAATAAAACAGATACAAGGTATACTATTTTCAAGCAAACAAGCTTAATAGTATTTTTTTTCTAATTTCAGACAATTCGGCATACTTGAACCAAACAATTTAACTATATACTTCAAATGTATCAAAATTTTACTACGGCCAATAAAATTTTCTAGAACAATCGTTTAATTGCCCACGTGTTCTCAGTATAGATAACTGACAGGATTAGTCTCGGGTATTCCTTTATAAATTCTCACCGGATACGTCCTTGTATCCGTGGGTTGCTTTGTTTACCGTGTTTGTAGCGATTATGGCTGACTGGAGGCGTGTGCAATCTTATCAATTATTAAGCAGACGGGGCTGGCTCTTAAGTAAAACAATAATTTAGACAACCCCGCACCGCTCCGGTGCTGCTGCTGGTGGTAATAGGAGAATAAAAAGGCGGGAAAACGCCCGCTGGAAAGCTGCTTTTCCAGTATCGCCACTCGCATCTATCTTCAATTAATATTCCGAATTTTTAATGCACACGCTCCTGGCAGCAGATGGCCGCCGCCTCGCCTTGTTATTTTAGCATAAACATCAGAATATACAGCTTTGGCTTAACTTACTTGGAATGGTAAACGATTATTTAGAGAATAAGATGTTTGGCAACTGTTTTTCAAAAGATAAAGGATACGATGCTCAAATATTGATGTTCATCATTTTTTCTAACGTAGGGTGATGAAAGTATATATTGGCCCTGTATATAAATATTAAAGTTCCAGTGAAATTCCCTCGTCATCGCATATATTCATATTTTCCATCCATTTGGTAGTTTCATCCCAAACACCTGCATACCTCATCAAAACTCATTTTACAGATATTTCCTAAATTTAAAGTATTGCAATATCGGAAAGGGACGTAGGAAGTAAAAAAAAACCCTTCAAGGAGTTAGCAGTCAAACGCTCGGTTATAGTAGCCAATCATAAAATAGAAATAGGGTAGTGCTGCACAATATTCGTCCTTCCTGTTCCGCTAATTACTAATTTATATGAGAAAACCAGTATACACAACTACTCTACAGATAGCAGGGTTGTTAAGCCTGAGCGTAAAAGCTCGATGATCAAAACCTGTTGTTAGGCGAAGCGGTAGCTGAAGCTCACTGTTATAAATACCGGGCTCATTTTAAACAATTAATACTTGATGATTATAGCCTCTCTCCGCCTCGTTTGCAGCCCACAATAAGATACCCTTAGTGCTGCTCCGCTGTGGTATCTCCATTAACTCTTTTCTTTTAAACAGGCGCAACTCCTCCTCTCTCTTCTTCGATCCCGTTTTTACGCTTTTAGCTGCAATTTACACTGATGGTCCTCCATGCCATGCCGGAAAATAGGTAAATGAAATCGTCGAGATGAAAAGAGACTTGAACAATGCTATTGTAACAATGCGTTCTATTGTCTTTTTAATCTTGTTTTCTGAGGTATGTTACTAACCATGCCAATATAGACCAAGCTGACTAGCCAAAAATCAAGCATGTTGCAGAAAAATTGTAATAATCTGTTTCGCATCGGAATTTTCTAAGTAGAAAACTAAGGCAAACATTGTGTGACTCCTTGGTGCTTAGCAATTTCAACTACTGTAGTTTTATTTATGGGTCGTGTTAGACTATATAACAAAAATATACTGAGTGACATTAGAAGCGTTACACCCAGAAAAAATAATTTCTTCAACTTGTTTTTTTAGCAACATAATGCCTATATTTAAAGCATGCAACAATATCATCGTTAAATTTTTGTTTTTCTTTACCTTTGTTAAAATGTTATCACTTAGTTTTTGTGAAGAAAGCAGTTTCTGAGAGCTGAGTAGTACAGATATTTTTAGTTATTGCCCTTCCATATACTAGTGTTAAGCATAACAAAATGCCTCGAGTCAAGATAGGCGTTTCAGAAAGCTAGCCCTACGAGACCGTTTTGCTACGACGCGTCAAATCGCTGACCAATGGTTTGTAGAAGAAGGTGTTATGCGTACACTCTATCGCCACAGTCGAACCTTTTCTCATACCGTCTACGGGTTGTAGTGCTTCCTCTGACTGGGAACCACTGTCGTCAATGTTTGAACTGGAGCAGAGAACGGCTACATTGGGAGGTAGAATGGCATAATGTCATCTTCAGCGACGGATTCGCGATTCTGACTAGGTACGCACACAGCTAATCCACGAAAGTTCGAGTTGCTTGGAATGAGGTGCCACAACCAGACATCGATCATCTCATTTTGTCGATGCCTAGACGGGCATTTCACACCTACCCTACTTATGTGAGGCTGGGTGTTTTCTTATTACTTGTCTATAAAATTTCGTGAGAATGATATCGTTTCATTCTTGATGTAAGACTACCTCATTGCCAAGAAATCAAGTTGAAGAAATTATCTTTTCTGGGTGCAACAGTTCTAATGCCACTGAGTAGACAACAGATTCAAAATAGCTGCTGTACGCTGGTATGTGGAATCAGAAAGTATGATCCTATATCACACAAAATCAAAGAGTGCGAGTGGCTTAACATGAATAATAGGAGACGCGTATAATAATAATAATAATAATAATAATAATAATAATAATAATAATAATAATAATAATAATAATAATAATATTCGTAATTATTGAAACTGTACAATTCCATACAGAAAAACAAGAGTTGCATATGGTGGCAAGGTTTAGCAACAAGCTACTCTTACACTTAACCATCCATGCAAAAAAAGTCGTTAAGAAGCAAATATCGAACAAAAAAAAAGTTGCGCAAAAATTTACTACAGATACACAAAGGAAGTAAAAAAGACACAATTAACAATACAGACCAGAGCAACCTATTTGAACTATGAGTGCAAGCAGATATGAGATTTGACATGTTTCTTGAAGCAATTTAAGGACATGTTTTTGAAGTCAGGACTCAAAGCACTGTATGAAACTGCAGCACTGTACGTGAGAGAACGCTGGAATAAAGCTGCAGGGTGAATAGGTGTAGTTATCAAACTAGGAAATCTAATACGCCTATCATGTATATTTCGCCTAAAGCTTAGCTTTTCTCTTAAGTATATAGGTTTTGGCATAAGTATTTGCTTATGAATGAATACAAGGTAGATATTTGACAATATTTTTTGTTTTCATCCAGTTTAATTCAATAAGAATACCATAAACAGTGCGATCAGCTTCCACAAGAATTCAAGCTTCTAAACAGGAAAAAGTTCAAATTCAAATTGAAGCGTTATTCGTCTGATATGCAGTAGGATCGGCTTTTTAAATTTAATTCGTTATTTTTTTGTTATTGTTTATAGATAGTTATACTGATAAAAAGCGGTTAGGTCTCATTTCACTATAAAAAATTTGCGAATACCTGCGTTGCTCAACCCTGTTTAAAAAACTTTATTCACTATATATTTTTTTCTCTACCTCATCGATGCTTTAGTTTAGTTCTAGTTTAATTATATTTGGGCTCTGCCGTCCAGTGGTTAAGTAGAATAGCTATTAGCTAGACTTTGCCACTGGTATTGTATTTTTGTTATCGTAATTTCTTTGTCCAGACAATAATAAAGACGGCTTATTATTATTATTATTACTATTCCAATATTCTTGATCTTGAGGCATGCACAAAATTTAGCTGGCAAATCTTTTTAGCAATCACCAATGTGGAAATAACACTTTTTATCGTGTATCCCAGTAGGTATGAATGGTTCATAAACAGTTGCAGGGGATGAAAATACCTTTGGAATGCGACCTTACACCGTCAATTTGCTGTAAAAATTGATTTGTTATTAAAAAATGGCGTTAAGTAGGTTAGTTCATAAAAGATTAGGCTTAGAGGTGTTTGGAGCCAACTACCCCAGCAAGCTTATAGGAGTAGATGTTTTTTAGTAATTTTTGTCGGTACATCTTTGTATCAAATTCAAAGATATCTATTTGTTCCAGCTATACATTCCAAGGCCAGAGTATCCGGAGCAGCTCAACGAATGGTTAAGTGCTGTTCAAGACCATAAACATGATTTCGATAGTATTAGGAGTGCAGCTATCGCAGATCGAAAAATGAAAAAACGGGTAACTAAAGTTCCTTCTGAAATTTGCTATTATCGAAATAAGCAAAAAGTGTCATCTATCACCAGAATCGAGCAATGTGAGACTGAAATAGCAAGCTGTCTGTTCGAAAAGTGTCTCAGATCGCATTTATCGCCGGGTCACCACTGTGGCCGCTGGATGCCGTCGATTATGGCTATTGTTCAACGGCCACAATGGTTATCCCGCTATCAAATGCGAACTGAGATACAGTTTCAACAGACAGTATGCTATTTCTTTCTCGGAGTGGTCGATTCTGGTAATAGATGGCGCTATCTAATTTCGATAGACCTTATACCTCAAATAGAGGATAGTTATTAAGTTTCCGTTCGTTGTTATATAACTTTTACACTATAACTTTTTCCGAGTATGACCAATGAGAAAGTGACTTTGAAGAAATGTTTCTGATGAATTTGGTCAATTTCTTGTAAAATGCTTTCCAAGAAGAATTTGGGTGTAGTCGCAAATCCGAAGAATCAAAAAGAAGATTATATTGACATGACAACATTCCTGAGATTTTTATTGAAAATTACAGTGTCTCACTGTTGCTGTACAAATTTCTGCTTGATAAATGCTTTGAAGTTATAAATAAGATTATAGAGTGCTTATTTTATAACAAACATCGAAAAAAAGGAAAAAAAATGATTTACTTACTGTTACTAGAAAGATGTCACGTACTCTACTGGATGGTAGGATAACTACACGACTACGCTGCGTCGCGGGGACGGTGGCAAGACTAAAAGTAGTTGTCCTACTACCCAGTAGTGGGCGCGAGGGTTCCCCGTTAACAGGAGTGGCTTGAGGAACAAGGTTTTTCGCACGGTAGTCAAATAAATTGAATATATACTCGATGTCTCTTAAAGAATGAGCATTCTATTACTTTATTTATGACTTCAAGCAGTCTATTAAACAGAACTTGGTACAGCAACAAAAACACTGTTAGTTTCAACAAAATTTGTATCCATGCTTGGAGTATGGCGCAGATCCTTCTTTTTCATTGGTGCGTCTTATGATCATGGCCGCTATTTAGAGTCCGCACGCAAATGGAAAAAAGAATAGATTTTTGTAGCTAAAGCAAGTGATTCATAACGTATCTCTTGATTTAATATGGGAATTAGGGACCCATGTACCCATCTTACACAAATTCTGTAATTATTCTCTAGTTTGAGAGACATTTTACAAGAAATCGACCATATTCATTGGATCCATTACTCCAAAGGCGTCTTCTCATTGGTCCAATTTGTGACCCACGCGCTTTTCTGCACCCCGGTGTAGTAAAGTCGGCCCTTAGAGTCCAAAAGGTCATTGAGCCTACCAAATCAGTTTAGTTCGTATCTAGGCAATATCGCATCATTGATTCGTTTGGATATCTATATTTGACAGTCTCTCAATGAGAAATTCATTGTTGGAAATATCTGTATATCTACGTTCTATTCTGCACATATGTAATTGCTTGCTGTCCATCATACCTTCAACTAGTCACAGACAACATCGCTTTGATTTCATTGAAGTTTGCGTATATCTCAGCTTATGTTTCCAGAAGCATCCTTCAGCTTCCAAGTTAATGAACCTCTTTTTTCAAAGGATCTGCTAAATTTGGCATTAGATGCCGCAAACATTGAAGATGAGATTGGAAGTTTGGACCAACAGCCCACAAATGACATTTATCCGTATATGTACAGAATCAACAAAAAATCAACAAAAACGAAATTCGAAGAGCCAGGATCAGAAAACACCTTTCACAAAACATATAGGAGTCCATTAAGGTTACGCAGGGATTCATACAGAGCAGATCTGGGCGAAATCAGTAAAATAGATATAAAACCAAAAGGATCTATCGGAGAAATAAAACGGTCAGAGAGTAAATATCCAGAAAGGTAAGTTGTACTACAGTCGCCTTTCGAGCTGACCCCATGACCAAAGATGTTATGCCATAGGTAGATGTATAAAAATGATATATTGTCTGACATGGTTACAAATGTAGATCTTAAGTAGGTGAATCGCAGAACTCACATAAGGTATAATGTGGTTTACATATTGCAAAGCTTTTAAGTTCACGGAGGAATATCTTTCATTTGTTATCACTTTATAAATTGAGTCTTTCACAACTGCTGTTTTAAGCACTACTAATTTGATATCTTGTTTTTGTCTACTATTGTAACTTACATTTAATTATTCAAATTTAGATTTAATAGATTCACTAAAAAAGGTCTGCTTGAAACACCAAAAGGGAATGCTATATCTCAATCTACTTTAATATAAGGCAAAATAACGTGCTTAAGAGTGTGTTTTTCCTACGCTGTGATTACACAACTGTTCTTATAAAACAGGAGATCTTTGCTAGTTGAGTAAGCAATTTGTCAGACTCAAAAATTTGATGGTGTCTCTTTTGTGTATCAATTTATTATTCAAATTTATAAGATAATGTCTTATTATTTTTACAATTTGGGATCGATTATTTAAATATGTTCAGAACCAACTCAGTTAAGTTCCAGTACAACCATATTTGTTTAATTTTTTTAATAGTATATCATGCTCATAGTCAAAAGCTGTGGAAAAGCCACAAAAAGGAGCTATTGAAATTTGTTCATTGTCTAAATTTTAGTGTAACTGTTGGAGTAATGTGAAAATAGCATCCATGGTATTTTTGTGTTTTTGAAATCTAAGCTGGTTGTCACTTACAAGTTACTCGTAGTTGGTTCTTAGAAAGTCAATCTAATTTGAATTATGTGAAGAAACCATTAGCACACTACTATCGGAGACGACGGCCTGTCAAAAAACGGGTACGTTGAGTTTGATACGATTTCCATTACCGCCACTGTGATATAGCCTAAGAATAACTCAAAAAAGTAGATCGAGTGATAAGAACTTGTGTTGTGTCTATTTTCCTCAAGGGACCATCAGGAAAATGTTGATATTATCTAGTAAAACATATAACTAATACGACAAAGCACATTTTTTGTAGATCATAAAGCTTTAAGATCTGACCGCCCCAGGCAAAATTTGCCTCCTCCCAGTCTTCAAAAAGCTACGATTTCGGTAGCACATTTGCATGTTTGTTCTTGCCCTTCTGGCAAACATTCCTACGAGTGCCCATGGTAATTGGTAGGATAGTTGTCAAATAGTTAATGACACCTAGATCAAAGGGACCGACAGTCACTGAAACTTTTGAATGTATGACATAACACGTGGCCAGTGATGTACATGTAAATACAAGTTACTTTTTAAATAAGTATTTTCAGATACCAGATACAAACTACTTTTTGTAAAGGCATTCTACGTGCTAGATTCAAAATACACCTCAGACTCAGAATCACCAACCTAAAGGCAACGACTGACTGAAGCCGAGCGCTGTAATGTAATGATCACATCGAGCGTTAAGGCGCCTACAGACACACGAACATTCCTTGAGATATGTATGCGCGTACAAGTACGCGCGTACATATACGTTTTATTCGAATTGCCTACACACGTAAAGAACATTTACTGTACAGCTTGCTAATAAACATGGCGACAGTGAGTGATATTGATTTAAATTTATTAGCAGTGGCGTGCGTGTGTATAATCAAGAAAAAACAAAACCGATTAATGAATAAACCCAGGCCACGAAGTAAATGGGTAAAGAAATGGTTGTTGTAGCGTGATCGATTCTCACACGTAAATCTACTGGAAGAACTTCGTTTAGAACCGGATTATTATCGAAATTATCTCCGCATGGATGAGGATAGCTATGTATTACTTTTAAATTTAGTAACGCCACTGATCCAGAAACAAGACACGTGCATGAGGTCTGCCATATCACCTCATGAAAGACTATCTGTTACCCTTCGGTACCTAGCTACTGGCAGGAACTATGAAGATTTGAAATTTTCTAGTATCATCTCACCTCAATCGCTAAGTAAAATGATTTCGGAGACCTACAATGCTATTTATGAGGTATTAAAGGATGAGTACCTAAAGGTATGCACTACTTAATAAAATAATACGTTATTATTAGGGGGCTCACGAGTCAATCTAAAAAAGCAATGATATAGCTCTCTCTATCTTTTGAATAGGCTTTATTTGGTCTAGATTTCGCTAGCCCCCATTTAATGTTACTTTAAGGATGTTCATTTTTATTAATTAACTAAACATAAACATGATAAGTATTTAAAGTTAAAGTGTTCAAAGCCAAAACTGTCTTAAATATTAGTTTGGTTGAAAGTTAGTTAGAAAACTGGCAAGGTTATCTGTTTCGCACACATCGTTGTCAAGTGGTTGAACAGTAGGTACCTGTTTTATTGGTTGCATTTCTTGTGATTTTTGAAATGTACAGGTATGAAATGAATTTTGTGACACATGTTGCTGGGGAGGCGCAAACTGCGATGGATAGGTATAATGCTGAGGATAATAAAGAGGGAACCGTCTCTGTTTAAAGTAACTTAGGAATTATTTTCTGCTGAATCGAGTAGCGAAACAATTTTTGTTGCTTTGGTAACACGACCCATTTCTGCTTCAAAGAATAGGTCGTTGATGAGCTTTTCCGTGTATAACTTTGTTTCTCTTGGAAGAATTTAGCTGCAACATTATTTCCGAAACTGGTGCATTGATCTTCATTACAGCACTTTAGCCTTTCTGAAACAAGAGCAAGAACTTCGTCTGCTTGGGCATCTGCTTTAGCTCTTCGTTTCTTTGTAGAATGACTTGTAGGTGGAATTAACGATTTGTTTCCATGGGTGCCGGACCTACTACTTAATGGGCTCTGTACCGAACTACTAAATTCTTCAGTATCGTGTTCTGCTCCGTGAGTTCCATAACTAGTACTTGGTCGGGCAGCCAATGGGCTTTGTAATAAACTACGACATCCTTCACTTTCAGATTCTGATGCATTCCCAATTTCCTAAAATAAAAATGTAATAAATTGCTTGAAGGTTTTTGAAACTTTAAGGACAAGATTTTCAAATTAAAACTCAGTTGTCAGTGTTTCAACCTTCTAAATAAAGAAAAACTATTTTCCTAAATATTGCATGTTGCAATGTGCCCGTATAGGCAACCAGAGTAACAACCTGCTGCACATAACGGTTCTCAAACTCGACCAAACAGAATGACAAAAATACTGTAAATTAATTTAAATATTTTTTGCAGTTTCTTACAACAGAGGATGAATGGAATACAATTGCTGCCGATTTCGAAACGAAATGTAACTTCCCAAACCGCGTGGGAGCCGTTGACGGCAAACATGTTAATATACTCCCCCCTGCTGGAAGTGGTTCTTACTTCTATAACTACAAAGGAGGACATAGTTTAGTGCTCATGGCTATAGTCAACGCAAATTATGAGTTCATTATGGTTGATTTTGTTGTAAATGGTCGAATATCTGATGGAGGTGTTATTGACCACACTACATTTTATCAGAAACTAAAAAATGGGAATTTATCTTTACCGCCTCAAAGAAAACCTAGAGGCAGTAAAGCTATAATGCCATTCGTTTTCATAGGTGACGGAGCATTTTCCTTGCGCTGCGACTTTTTAAAACCATTTGGTCAGAAAGAACTTAATCATGACCGAAAAATTTTTAATTATCGGCTTTCACGAGCAAGATGTAGAGATGAAAATGCTTTTGGCATACTGAGTGCGCGTTTTAGAATATTCCAAGGAGCGATTTCCATTAGTTTAAAAGGAATTGAAAAAGTAGTCATGGCCGCCTGTGTTTTACATAATTATTTAAGACGAAAATGTGGAACTGCATATGTACTAGAAGATAACGTTTACAGTGAAAATATACAAGATGGCACAATAGATTTAGGATTAGAAAGCACTGGAATGACAAGACTGCAGCGCGGTTACAATCGAGGGAGTAACAATGAAGCAAAACAAGTTAGACTACTGTTTACGAATTACTTCTGTCATGAGGGTGCTCCAATAACACCCTGTATAAAACTTAAAGCTTCTTATTCATAAAACATTACAGTACCTAAATGGATAATTTTTTACTTACCTCTCCTTGATCTGAATCAAACTGTTCATTCACCACGTTGTCGTCTGGTACGTTTGATACAGATGATGTGGGTATCTGTTGATCTTTAAAGAAAAGCAACAAATTGTAATACCATAAATGTGGTATATATATGTCATGCTGCCCAGCTCCTGACCTTTTGGACTGTGCTATTTTTTTATTTCTCTGCGAAACCCAGCACACACTAATTATTTTGGTTTTCACTGTTTCCTTGGTAGCCGTTTTTTCTACTTCTCTCCACTTTTCAACCAATATTTTGAACGCATTGTTTTTTTATTTCTATTCATGTAGTCCTTGGATTTAGTTTTCCATAAACAGGGGTAAGATTTATAAAGTTCTATGAATTTTATTAAAAACTCTTTTGAATAGTTCCTGCTATCAGCCATTATTAAACACAGTTAACACCTGGAGATGGTTAACGTGAACCGCACTGGTATTATTCCTGAGGATCTTTTAATTCCCATTACTATACATTTTTTGCTCTATTTTATTTTTATTATGTAATTGTGAATAATGCTGCTGTAAATTGTTGACTAAAATTTAACGCCAGCCGCTTCACTTTTTTTCCCTAGCAAGTATTCAAATTTAACGCTTCTCTCAATTTTAACTGACTGTACTGGAAAAAATGTACTACGCTAGTCTGACACGTAATTTTAAAAGTTGGCACATTTAATAAGGAGTCCAAAATGTTATGACATATACTAGATTATTTCTTCAATTATGGACAATTTTAATGTTTGTAAAGAATCTTAGTTTTCCACATTTTTTTCTTAGTTACTTAAAATGATTCTAGTATACTCAAGGCTTTTCTCGTAGCCGTAACTTTAAGATTCTAGTTTGAGTGAGAAAAAGAATTATTTTACAAAGTGAGAGCGAGACAGTAACCGTGTAATTTTCTTCCAAGCTGAAGCAGCTGGCGTTCAGTTTTCGGCAACAATTTACAGAAGCAATATTCAGGATTTCCTAATAAAAATAAAACTGAACAAAAAATTTAAATGTGTAAATAGTAACGAGAAGTAGATCAGCAGATTTTTATATTTTTTTAAAGCCTATAATTTGAACAGTACGTGCACGACTTAGATATTTTTTGATAACTATTATAACTTGGCCAACCCCCGTTTCTGGCTTGACGTCGACTTTTGTCACACCCAGTATAATGGTGAAGTAAAATAGACCTTACCTGTTCCTTACATATTTGCAAACTTGTAATTTTACGTTTACACTCATCAACCGAAGTTTCTGTTTCTGCAGTTAGCTGTTGCCACTCTTCTTGTTTCTTGATTTTGTTATAATATTCCTAATGTTGCTGGTATACTTTTAGTACGATACAAATCAATTAAAAATAACATTCTACTGGGACCACTCCATTGATAACGTGTGTCCAGAGCTCTATCTCAACTAATAAAACAAAAATACTGCAGAGACTGTGCTGACAAACGAACTAGTCGCCACCTGTACTGACCATCAAAGGGATTCGTCAAGCGACTCTGTTCGGTGCTCGCTTTAAGCCGCGTACAGACCGAAAATCCAACGCTGAGCAAACAAAGTGCAATAAATCCTGTCCAGACCAAATCAAACCTCCCGTTGATGTACCGGTCAAGGAGCGAAGGCAATCGAATGCTAACGCCGACCTTGGAAACCGTCGGCTGATGTTGGCTCGCGCCGTACACACCGATTCGAACACCTCCAAATCTGTAACCATGCGCCTTGGCTTGCGTACCTAATCTTGGTCTGAACGCGGCTTTAGCGATTCACTTGCAAATTTTTGTGTTACATTACATTACAGGTCTCGGCTTCAGTCAGTCACCGCTAGAAGAATTTCTATTATGCTGAAAATCGTATAAATGCCATATAAACTGTATTTTTGTCATCTTTTCGGTGTTCTACACCACTGTGCGGCATAGGGGTTGGTAGCACCGCGCTTTAGCGGCAATGTGACCTCTCCGCAGACTACAATACGTTCAGTAGACCCATTTTCGCTTGTCTTTTGTTCGTTTCCTGTCTCCAGTGGCTAGACCTAAGCCCTACTGATGATCGCCAAAAAAACGTAAAATACCGTTGTATACGGTTGGTTATGGTCACAAAGATTAAAAGCAGACAGATCCTATTCAGTCTTAGATAAAATATTATGGGATATAGGCTATAAGTCTAATGCTAGTCTTCTCCTCAAGTAGGTATGTGAGATCAAAATTGGAGGACAACAAAGACAATTTTAAAAGCAAACGTGACATAAAAATTGATGTCCTTAGTGATGGCAAACTGGTAAAGGAGATAAAGAGTGGGGGTGGCGCAGAATCGGTCATGTTGAATATACAGTCAGTGACTGATACTGATTTGATGTCAACTTTCAACACGGAGAATTTCCAGTTTAATGATACGGATGCTGTCACGGATTTGGTGAAGTCAGCTGGTGTTGGTGTCATTGGGAAAGCGGCTAAGCAACCAGTTGCTGGTGAGTTTATGATAGACATTCTCACAAAACAATTTCTAAGCAATTTCCTGCTGTCGCATGTCCCTCTTTTCTGCCTGTTTGGAGCAATGTTCTAAATCCTTTTCGGGTCACAAATTCATGTAAAATGTCTCTCAAAGTATAGAGAAATTATACGATTTGTGTAAGATGGGCCCCTAATTTGCATATTGAATCAAGAAACTCGTGATAAGTTACTTGGTTTAGAAACAAACATTTATTTTTCCATTTGCGTCCGGACACTAAATTAGCGGCCATGATCATATAATGCACCAATGCACCATACTAGAAGCATAGATAGAACTATCATAAATAGTAATTAATTAAACTTGCATTTTATTGAAACTATCAGTATCTCTCACTCTCTCTCTCATACACACACTGCTGCTGTACAAAATTCTACTTGATATTTTTAAGACATAAATAAAATTACAGAATGCTTATTCTAAAACGAATATCAAGTAAATATTCAATTTACTTGACTGTACGAAAAACCCTGTTTCTTAAGCCCGCCCTGTTATCAAGGACCTCTCGCGCCCTCTACTGTGAAGTAGGAGAACTACTATTAGACTTGCCACCGTCACTGCGGCGCAAAAATGCCTTCTTTGGTCCAATTTGTGCGAAAGCAAAGGCCCAGATTTTGATTCTCGTCGGTCAACAGTAAAACCTGGCATATGTTTTTTTTCTAAAATAACCTCTGAACAATACAGTGTTGATGTATTGTTGGACATCATAATAGCTAATTATACCAGGTATGAACTAGCAGTAACGTAACATTTCTATTTTTCGCAGCCTACCTGGTTCTAAGATAGCTTTGAAAAACTTGATCTTTTAGTTGAAAAATGTTCCTGATCGAAATCGATTTAAATGAATTAATTGCTTTTCGTAAGCGCCATTACATGAGCTTCTGTGGTTTCGCAGAACACTTTTCATTTATCAGGTTGAATATATGGAATAGCTACACATATGGATATATCTGGCTCTTGAAGAGCGCTTACAGAAATTGGTTTTTCGCAACATTACAGTCTGATGCTACACTTACAAATTTTTATTTCATTTTGGCTATTAAAGTAACTTGCATAATGAAATCTATTTCGCAGGTTCTGGTTCGCTACGAATACAAGGAGGTCAAGAAACCTTCAGAAACAAAAACGATATAGTTTCAGAAGAAGCTGGAGAATCGGGGATAATAAAACAAAGTCCAGTTGTGGAAAAACTAAAACAAAGTGACCCGAATTTTAAAAATCTTTTCAATGAAAACGACATACTTAATACAGATATCAGCATGGCGAAAGATTCATTACTATCTTCTACAATATCACAAATGGACTTAATCCATGCAGCCAATATAAACCGTCAGCAACAAAATGCTGCGAATGTATTACGGAAAAATCAGCAAAATCCATATAAATATTATACTTCATTCACAAATAATGGTCTCGAAGACATGAGCAAATTTTGGTCTCCAACAGAAAAAGGTTTGATGCAAGCTGGTATACAAATCGCCCAAGGATTGACAGACTCTAAGTCCGACTCAGAAGGATTCGAAGAAGTAACTAGTATCATTATTGACAATAAAGGAGATAAAGGTGTCAACAGCAATATGAAATACCCAAACAAGAGACAGTTAGATGACTACGCCTCAAAAGTGCTTGGAAAAGGATATGTCGTGAAAGGAAATGATTTAGTGAGACATCTGACTTACATACCAGCAGTACCAAACCGTGAAGGCATTGCTGGTGGTGAAATATCCCTTTACACTAACGATGGAGTGCCTGTGTCTCCTACTGAAGAACAACTCGTTAATCTTGATTCATTTGAAAGTCACGCGGAGATTCCGAATTCAGTAGAAGACCCAAGCAGTGCGCACGAAGTATCTCCTGGATTTGCTGAAGGTAATAACCAAGGGGTTCCTTCTGTTTTGATGGAGCAGGATCTCCCATCCCAAAATCAAGATATGCCTAAACCGGCAGTTAACTCAAATGTAAGAGTATCCATAGCGCCAATACAGCATGACAGTGATATAGTTATGTCCACTGAATCACAAAGTGGAGTTACTGAATCAGCTACGCTTAGAAGAAGGAAGGACAAATATTTTATAGGACATCAAGTGGTTACTGAGATAGAGATCATCAAAGAGCTTGGACCTGATTTGGATGCAGAGTCTAGAGGTACAGTGAATATGTTGATGAATATGAAAGGGAAAGAGAAAGAAGCAGAAAACATCCCAGAAGGTATCAAAGGCGAACTTAAAATGTCTGATCCGAACCAGGGAGATGCAGAACGCAACGAGGAAGACGTTACGTATTTAGATTTAGGAACTAATGATGAAAATAAGCAACCGGGACCTGTCGAAGAAGTTCCTGATAACAGCAAACACAAAGAAGCATTTGAGGAACATCATGAATACTCTGATGAAAAACACGTCGATAATATAGAACCACCGCATGATGGAACTGTTAATGAGGTACCCGAGCATTTACATGGAGAGTTAGGAATAAAGGTTGAAAACAAGCAGTCGGGAACTGTTGAAGAAGCTCCTGATAGCATCAAGGACAAAGAAAAATTTGATGGACATCACGAATCGTCCGATGAAAACCATGTTGATAATCTGGAACAACCAAATCATGAGACTGTCAATGAAGCATACGAGCACGTACATGATGAGTTAGGAGCAAATGATGAAGACAAGCAAACGGGAACTGTTGAAGAAGCTCCTGATAACAGTGAACACAAAGAAACATTTGATGAATATCACGAACCATCTGATGGAAAACACGTCGAGAATCTAGAACAATCGAATCATGAGCCTATCACTTTTACATGCAAGCAGGTACATGAAGAGAGTGTCACTATGCATCACAATCCTGGACAAATTGAAGGCAACTCTGGAGAGGCTGAGATAAATAGTCCTGATTTGTTAAACACTGAATTCAAACATAATGAAAGAATTGCAGGAAAGTCTGGCCATGGAAGCAAGTTAGAATCCAATGAGGCTTCTAAAGTAAAATCAGAGCATGGTACTGACCAAAATCATGACATGCCTGCAGGAGAGCTCAAGCAGGTAAATCAAGAATCTGATGAATCTTGTGAAGATAAACAAAATAATGAGAGCGACAAGCAATCTGAAACAGGTGAATTTAATCACGAAAATCAAGTAGAATCAAAAGGTGGCCAGCCAGATGAGACAGCCGCAGATGAACAAAAGCATGGTGGTCAAGCAGACTCTAAAGAGCTTTCTGAGGTAGAACCATACCATAAAAGTGACGAAGCTGTTAATGGGGAACATTTACATCATGGACCAATGGAAGGAAATACGGAATGTGATGATACAGAATGCAATGGCCTCGAAAATTCTGTATTAGCTAAAGAAAAACCTGATGATAATATGGAAGCTGAACAAATACTCTCAGGAGAGCAGGGAGACTCTGAAGATCATAATATAGTAAATGCTGACCATAACATTTCTGGACCCACTGAAGATGCCGCTGGCAACAAATTAAAGGAATCTAAGCAACACGAAATAGATAATACGGGTACTGGGAAAGAGCCGAAGAACAAATTCGGTACAACAGAATGTCAGTCAGACCTGGAAGGTACCGTAGATATTGAAAAACAAGAGTCTAATCATCACTCGCCTACTACAAAAGAAGGAGAAAGAGAAAGTAAAAATCATGAAAACAGTGACAACCCTCAAGATATAGAAGAAGAGCGAAATGATGTTAAGAGGCGGAGGCTCCCGCATGATGGAACCCAGGTTATCGTGATAAACAATGCTAGACTTAAGGACGATGTTCATGAAGTAGCACCTAAAATTTTGTCGTTGCCATCGATCAGGAAGAAGAAAGATAAGGTAGAAATTTCGAATAAGCGAGGTTATAAGAAAAAGAGTGGAATGGCTGAAAATGCAAAACACACTTATAGAAAAAATTCTGTGAGGAGGCCCAGAAACAAAAAGCACCGCATATATCGACTAAAAAGTAGTTACGCAGGGGCAGGTAAGGAAAACAAATCCTTCCGATCTAAGAAACACTACATGGGAAGAGATCCACCGTCATTAGAAGCATATAGCGTAAAGGAAGGAAACAGGAAAGCTAGTCACAGGAAAACTAAAAAGTTGTCACATGAAAGATACATGGGTAGGAAGTTGAATGAGATAAAAGACTACGTTTACGATCCTTCAATTGAAAAATCGGATGAAGACTATGATGTGAACGATGCGACAGAAATTAGTGATGCAACTGAGAAGCGAGAGAGAAACGTCAAAGGAGCTGTTGAAGGTAAGGAGCTTTATTTTCTTTCTGTATTATTGAACCACTCGGTACAAACATTTCGAAAAATAGATGATTTTGATTATTTTATTTGATACAACTAATAAAGAGCAGAACTTTGATAATATGTCTGATCGCTAGTTCTCAACGGTTGCCAGAAAACATTGCTTAACCACTGTTTCTATTCAGTTGATGAGTGCGTTGATGCTGTCACTTGGTTAGTTAATAAATCAGTTTGTAAGAGATCACATGTACATTGTATATACATAATGTGGTCAATAAATGGTATGGTAATTAATTTCAATAGGCGATTATGGAGATGAGGAAGACTCGATGACCGAGAAAAAGAATGGAGCAAAAAAACTGATTAAGAAAACAAAAAATGAGTTTGCACGTCCGCACACTACAACTGAAGCAATCGATGACAATTATTATGATGAGATTGAAATTATGGGAGAGGAACAAAGGGTTAATTCTAATCATGAAGAAAATAGGGGAGATATCGCCATTAAGGAGGTAAAAGCTGCTCTTGGACAGAAATCCCAAAAAAAAGTAAAGACACGGAAACCAGCTGAGCCATCAGAGGTAATGCCCGTAATTCTGCGAAACATTTAAACAAAGTGTGAAGTACTAAACGTACTGCTGCTAGTCTTTATGATTAATCAGAGTGGTTTAGGCTTGGTTAATCGCCTCGGGACAACTAACGAAAACATATCAACAATCCCCTATCCAGGAGGTACTATCTATCGAAATAAGACAGCGCAGCGCGCCGTCCATTGCCAGAATCGACCACTGCTAACAGTATATAGTCAGTACCAGTTTTAACTGTAATCATCTCAGTCTGAAATGGTAGCGCAGTCACAAGTGAGACCGACAGATGTCTGACGATTATAGCTGTTTTTCCGATTTTTAATTTTTAAACAATGATGAAGCACCTTCATCTCAACCTTTCAAATAAAAGCGTGATACACCCTTTTTCCATACCACTGCTAAAACGTAACACGCTTTTATTTGAATATTTGAGATGAAACAGCGTCATTATAAAGTATTTCAAATCGAAAAAAAAAATCATTTCAAAATTCATTTTATGGAAAGTTTGTAATAAAAACATTTAAACTGAATAAGACTAATGGACATGAAGATCATTTTGATGAAAAGAATAGAATAGAATAATACTTTGTTCAAGTCAGTCTGTGAGCAGGATACAAAACGTTTAAAAAATCGAAGATGTGGATAACTAGTACATGACATGAAAAAAGTTCATTTGTACCATAAAATGCCTTATTTAGCGAAAGATTCTTAAGTTTACTTTTAAACAAAGAAAGCTGGTCATCTGCTTAGAATCTAAAGGTGGTTTATCATACATGGTGCTACATAAATACATATGACACTTTTTTATAAGCACTGAGATTGAAATTTTGAATATGAATATGTTTATTACATCTAGTCCTGTAGGCGTGTATTTCGCTGCGCTGGGGGAATAAATCTATGTGTTCTTTAACAAATAAACATGTCTCCTAGGTCAATATTGACGGTAACGTTAATATTTTATTGTCTACAGCTGTCAAGTGGATTGAGACCAAAGACTAATCAAATCAGCCTCTTTTGTAGAATGAATATTCCTTGTGTGGTACAAGAAATGCCACAATATAAGGTCAACTACCTCATGTGGCAGTACCTCGCCGTTGTAAAATAAGTATCTAGGACTAACTAGTCCAGGGAGGTTTCTTAATACAAAGTATGCCGAGTTAAGCTTACTAGCCACATACTTTATGCGTGTTTCCCAAGAAAGTGTTTTGACCATGTAAAGACCCATCTAGTACTGTAGGCGTGTATTTCGCTGCGCTGAGGGAATAAATCTGTGTTCTTTAACAAATAGACATGACTCCTAGGTTAATATTGACGGTAACGTTAATATTTTATTGTCTACAGCTGTCAAGTGGATTGAGACCAAAGACTAATCAAATCAGCCTCTTTTCATGTGGCAGTACCTCGCCGTTGTAAAATAAGTATCTAGGACTAACTAGTCCAGGGAGGTTTCTTAATACAAAGTATGCCGAGTTAAGCTTACTAGCCACATACTTTATGCGTGTTTCCCAAGAAAGTGTTTCGTCCATGTAAAGACCCATCTCTATGGTAGTACTAATTAGAGTAAGCGTGGTACAGTTCGCCATTTAAAGAAAACTATATACTTTGTTTTGGATGTATTTACTATCCTCTTGTTTTCCACAATCCATTCTGAATATTTTAATAAAATTATCTTTGCCTTCGAGTTGTTTGGGTGATCTTCCGCTTATACTGATAATTGTGTCATCTGCGTATTGTGCTCCTTTGACGTCCTCACTAACCAAGCTCCCATTCATTTATAAACAGCAGGAACAAGACGGTTGACTTTTTTTCGTACAAAATGTTTCATGTAGTTCTACAAACACCGATCCAAACTTTACAGTGCTATAAATCAAACTTCTCCGCTTAAAGTGGGCTTTCAGAATATAGTAAAATGTAGAGTGCAAGCCTCTTGAATAAATTAATGTATGTTTGTAAATTTCTTTTTTAGATATATCTTACAATAACGGAGCTATCGACTGATTATAAACTCAATCTCACCCTGTTTGTCAATTTCTTAGGTGCAAGTCAAAGCTAACAAGGGCAGAATCACAGTTCGGGAACCAAGGCGGAGTAACTACGCCAAAATAAATCCAGAATTTCAGCAGTGGCCCAAATTCATGATTAGCGACCAAGAAAATGAAGAAAATTTGCGTAAGCGATCGCTGGAATCAAAAAAGCCAGGAAAACAAAAAAGGGAGAAGTTTAAAAAGTCTCTGAAGGACTTTTTCTTGAAGCCTGTTCCAAAGAAAAGGTTTGATATGGGTGGTATGGATTTTGGTGGGATATCGACGGTCAGTTCTGGTGAAGATAGAAAGATGTTTGCCAGTGATATGAAAGAACGTGCCACAAGTGTAGAAGGTCTGTCAGATCTGGAAGGCTTGGGTAATACAGATATATCAGGTAATCTATTATTCTACTCGCAGGGCCGAATAATTAGATAGTTTGAATGTCTTCAGGCTAGACTTCTCCTTTGGCAATCAAATTATTATTATTAATAATAGGCACTGTAAAAAACCCTTGTATGGCAAAATTTTAGGGATATGATGAAGAAAAAACAAAAATAAAGGTTCAGATACAGCAAAAGCTCCAATTTTTCCCTGGCTATTCACTGGGGACCTTGAAACGCAATCCGACTATGTCTAGGCTATATACCAGGAGAACGGCCAAATGAAAAAAGAAATGACCACAAAACTTGACGCCTGACTTCTGCTGATACACAGTTTGAGACTAAACTATATCGTGAAATCTCTCTCATGGGACAGTAAAAGTCAATCAGCTAAGTGCCAACTTACAGGTTTTACAGGTGACTTCTGTTCCATAGTTATAAATCACATTCAAGACCTTACCTTTTCTAAAACACCTGGAACAAATTCTTGCATATTTTGGTTTCTACCGATGACTTAATTCATAAATTTTGTTGGCCTTTGAGAAAAAGATTGAGTCTTTCACCAGCATTTTGGAGAGTATCAGGAATTCCAAACCATGAAGATGTTACTGTTCCCCCTCGTTAAACAATTTATCACCACATAAAGGGAGGCTTTGTAACAGTTCTCACAAATAAATAAATAACAATAAGAATTTACATCAGATTTCAGACTATTTACATCAAGGGTTCACAAGAAATAAGCAAACATTGTTGAGCTAACTTACAATGAACTAAGTGGCAATCCATTTGTTGGTGTTCATATGGCGGATATGTCAAAACACAGCGTTGGACCGACAAAGCACTAAAGGCCCTCAGAATTACCGCTTTAAAAAAATCCGCCAAATCACAGTTAATTGATGGAGAGGCTTGTTTCAAAGAGCGAGGGGGTGCCTTCTATCCGCAAATGTTATTTCGACCACAACATTATATATGCAAAACAAAAAATTCCCCAAGCAAAAATTTTCCAAATTTGGGGGAAAATCCCCCAACATGCATCCATGTCAAAGAACCACTGGTACTCCAGGCGTCAAGTTTTGGGGCCATTTGTACAGCACGAGCAGCATTTTTTGGTACCTAGAGATGCGACAATGAATGAATAAATCGATTAACAGAAAATCGATTTTTTTCTTTTCCAATATTAATTGAAGAACCATTAAAAATATACTTTTTGTGCCTCTCACACATTTTGGGTTTCTAAGTTACGTTGAGGCAAAAAACACAAATTACGAAAGGCAAGTTTTACGGAAACATAGTTAAAAAACAAAAGGACAACCGTGGGCATGTCCGCAGTAAAAGAACAGGAGCAGAAATGGAAGGATTGATAGTCCCAGCGACATACTTTTCTGCTCAATGGCTTCATCATGCCCAAATGGATGTGCATCGAAAACACTCGTCTCTCGTTATATTGACTAATTGGCTAGAAGTACCACGGCAGATTGCTGGCCTCCGTGCCGACGTTAGTTGATGCCCTCAGGTCCTTAGACCATAACATTTTTGATATCAATGGTTGCAGAATTTTCCATCATAAGTTATAAAATCCGTCATATATTTTCCAGCTACTGCGAAAACAATTTTAAATGAATGTCACGCCCAAAACAAAACTATGACGACAAAAGCGAACGCAAACGCTACTACCGAAGCCGACGGAACTACGGCCTGCGCCGATGAAGCCCTGAATTCCACAAGACCTGAGTTAAGCACAGTGCTTTCCATATTGGATCAGAGCGAGTTGCAGAATGAGATTAGCGGAAAACGTACTGAAATGCCCAAACTAGATGACATGTTGGACGGTCGACTGCCTAGCATGATCCGTAGCGAGATCCTAGAGGAAATCAAGAATCATGAGAAATTGAACAGGTTTCAGACACATTTGAAGTCATCGAGGGTAAGAAGCGACTATTCCAATTGCAAACGTGTTTGAACATTAAGAATCAATGGTCGTTAGTTCTTTAATGTCAATTCATCCAATATCTTGCAAAAAACTCGTCAATCTTATTGCCTGACAGCAATATTCATAGACTGCGACACTACGAGTACCGAAAGTGTACGATTGTGGATAAATAAAAGAGTGACGAACTTGTTTGGAGAATTTCGAAGTAGAAAAACCCTTGAGGCTGTGATATAGTTATAATACATTTGACTCACTTGTCTACCAATGCGCTTTCATTTTTCACTCATCTAAGGATCAGAGTATGTACAGGGTGTTTCGCTTTAAATTGACCCCCATTTAAGTTTTTTGTATGGCCATTTGTAATTTTTTTTATAAAAGCCGTCGACCATTATAGTTTTATATACTTTATATATCTCAGAAAAGTGCTATTGAATAAAGCTGTCTTTATTTAAATCACACACCCTGTATATTTTTAGTCAAAATAATAGCTGCTTTTAATCTGATTCCAAATACACAGGGTAATTCACAAGTGGTGACCAAAAATGAAACATCATACACCGCATTTTAACTGGAGTCTTCTATGTAACATTTTTTCCTCGAGGGTTTCATTGAAGTTTAAAAATACAAAAACATTTTTTTTAATATCCTCAAAACCGTCAACTGGAATGAACTAAAATTTGGTATAAGGATTAACCTAAGTGTTATCCACATTCAAAAGTCTTTACTTAAAATTAACGTGCACCAGGGGCGGAGATACAGGGGATTAGTGGCATTATTTTTCCAAACAAAAATAGTACGCCACTGTTTTTATTCGAAACGTACATTTTTACGAATTTTACCTTCAACTTGCTACAAATAATTACTCTTGAGTTTTTTCCTAGAGTGCACTGTTTTCGTAAAAATAAAAATAAAACAAATTAGATCATTCATGAAACCGAGGTACAATTAGTTTCAAAATAAAATAGGAGGCCTTGATATCAACTTGACGTTTCTTGGGAGATAGTTTGTCAAAGTTATGTGTTATACGGTTGTCATCGTTACTACTACCATTTTTTTTTAAAAAGTCAAGTCAAAAGCTTTTTATTCATTTCCAATAAAGAACAGATAATGCGTTTTATCAAATTCAAGCCACTACAAATTTTGTGGAAATACTTTTTTTTTATTAAAAATATATGCCGCACTTGTATCCATCAGAATGGTGGCCTTTTTGAACATTTATTGAAATGAAGCTTTATCTAATTTGTTTTTTTTATTTTTACGAAGTATAGTTTATCATATATCTTTATTAGGTTGCTCAAAAAAATAAATTTTGTGTGTCTGTCTAATACGAGTTCACACCAGTTTCCATTTAGCCGCCTATGCAATCTGGTGTAGGGCTGGATACATATGATTAAATGACACATAAAATTAAAGTTTTTGACTAAAGTAATAAAATAAGCATGATAAACCTCATATATTTCTAGTTGAATAAAAGCGACTGCCATTTTGACTAAGATCTACAGGGTGTTTCATTTAAAAAAATATAACTTTCCTTTTCTGGGACACTCTATATAAAATAGGAATTTCCTGAAAAACTTTATATAGGACCCTACAACTTTTACAACTTTTGTATATAACTACTTTTTCTAAAAGGTCTTACAAAAAAATAATATGGGTGTCAATTTTCAAGTACAATCGGGAACAACAAAAATTGCGCGGCGTCTTCCCCATTTTAGGGAAAACAAGAACAAGTGGCGACCACGCAATGAGGCTGTATGTTTAAATGGCTCATAAAGGTACTGAGTTATCGACCGAATTTGATAAGTTATTTTAGTTATTCACGTTTGTTTTAGAATGTTTGCGAATATGGGGATGAAGGCGCCCATCTATTGTTGTTCTCTACTGAACAGACAACCTACTTGATGCCAATTTTCTTTTTTCAGACCGTACTTAATCAAACAGAGACCAATAGTTTGGAAACCAAGAAACTGTTGAGCTACATGTCTCAAATAATAGATAGGCTTCAGTTTGCAACCACTTGCCAAGTTTTACCTGTCAACCTTAGGGACTATCTTAAAGACGTGACCAATGCGCCTAGAGATGACGCATTGAAGCGTCTGAGAGATATGGAGGAAATACAATTAGATGAAAACCAAAATGACGCAAATAGCAACTACTTATTCAAAGCTCATGCACCTATGGACAAACTGGAAGATAAGGCCAAATTATTGGAAGACCTGCTAGAGAAGTACAACAAACTGCCTGATCAATGTAAACCAAGAGCTGAACCAGTTAGAGAGTATATTGAAAATCATTTGGGCTTGGTCAATAAGATGCTGGATGGGCAAGATAACACTAGCAAAAAGACTGTAAGGCGAGTAAAGGATTTCAAAAGATCTCGAACAGAGTCAAGGAAGTCAGAAGATTTGATAGAACAGCAGCTAGAAAGTCTTGGTCTTGGTAAATCGAAGTCTTTCAAAGCAAATTTCGATTTGGACGACCTTGTTTCTCGCCACAGACGTCAAAAGTCTATCTTGTTTGAAGACGAAGATACGTCAGAGAATCAGCCATACAATGTCCAAGAAGACGGTAGAACGGTGTCAGTCAAGTATAACAGGCTTTCAGATGCAATACAACATTCGAAAGAGAAACACAAAAAGGAACAGACCCTAGCTAGAGTGTATGGTGGACCAAGCCTGGACTACTACAATGAGAGCCCGAAAGAGAAAAGAGAAGCTAGCAACTACAACTTTGAGACGCCTTTAGTTTATAGTTTATAGTATACTTATAGTTTTATCGTATTTTACAGTGAATATACCAATTTACAACGTACAAGTTCTTCATCTATTTATTGAAAATGGTGCCATTTTCGAGCAGGAAAGGTTTGAAACAGTTTCAATACACATACAATGTAGGCAAAAAAATCAAGCAAACGCGATTTTATAGTAATATCCTGACGATTCATTGTCTTATTTACCCATTCTTGGCTCTTTTTGTAGCATAATATACAGTTACTAAAAATTCAAATGCTTCAAATGGGGTTCAAATGACCTCTGTCTAGAACCAAATTCGAAGTGATTTCACACGTATCTTATCTCGTTTATCATATACATTCTACTATTTAGTGAAAAATTACAAAAATGTGCGACATTTGCGACTTTAGGGCGCTGTACATTAACGTAATTTGGGGCGCTCAATTTGAATGTCATCGTGGAAAAACCATAAACCCTATAGGGTCATGGTGTCGAATTAAGGGTGAAACATTTATATAGAATAAGACATTTGGGGATACATACATGTGAATCCTAGCAAATTGATATCGAATTCGATATCTACGCACCCAATTTACCTAGAAAATAAGCTTCTATCCAGATCATAGTTGCGCAACAATTTTTTAAAATCTTTTATTCGTCGTTTCTTAATAAGTAGATATAATAATAATAGAGGTCTTTATTTATCCATAATTAAATTGTAGTATAGCCAAATGTCAGACTTACATCGCGAATTTTAGCATGCTGCTACTCTTACACTTAACCATATAGTCTCTAGCAGATGTTCAAAAGAATGCACTATCCACAAACAGATTTGGTTCATTACATCGAAAGTAAAATTTAAAAAAAGAGAAAAAGGTATACTTTCCAAACCCAAGTACACCAAAAAATTATTAATCTGAATTAAAGACGGAATAAAAAAGAAATGAATGATTACGTAAATTATATGTTTGGAGGGTTGAGTAATAATGTTTTAACTTTTTGTCGAAAGACAGGTAATGAAAATTCTTTATATACTTTAGGAAGGTTATTACGAATAATAGCAACATTGTAAGAAAAACTGCGTTGAATAAGTGTAGACGTATGAAGGGGTATTCTAATATTATTTTCTCTGAGAGTTCTACAGGGAACATCACTATTAAATGAAATTTTTTCCCTCAAGTAATAAGGTTTAGGCATAAGCAGCAACTTGTGAACAAAAACTGAATAGTGATACTTGACATGTCAATTTTTTACCAGTTTAGAAAGGGATATTTCGCTGATACATGATCAAATTTACGTAAGCCAAAGATGAAACGTATACAATTGTTTTGAATAACTTGAATAACGTTTTCAGTGAAATTGTCTAAACAAGTATAGTATACGATATTACAATAATTTAGTATAGATGTGACCAATGATTCACATAGTTTTTAAGCAACTTAAAATTTAGTAAATACCTGTTTGCTATCAGAGTACGCAGCCGTAGGTAGGTTTTCTGGGAAAGACTTTTAACATGTTCAATAAATTTTGTATCAAAAACAGAATCTGAAAATTGCAAGATTAGGTTATTTATCTGAATGTTCAAGAGCTGTGTTACATTGTATGTTTTTCTTTGTGCGCAAAATAACATTTTAGATTTTTGTGGATTAATAAGTAGATTGTGATCTAAAGAGTATTTAATTAATTTACTAACATCGTTTTGTAAAATTTGAGTAGTATTATTGATATTATCTGGGTTAAGATAATGAAGCAATTGCGTATCGTCTGCAAATGACTGGCCATGAGAATTATCAATACTTTTGCTTAAGTCAAACGTATATATGAGGAACAGAAGCGGCCCCAATACAGAGCCCTCAGGTACGCCTGAGGGAATTATTGTCACTTGAGTCATTTCTTGACTGAGAAAAACACACTGAGTTCTTTGATGAAGGTAACTGTCGAAAAATGAAAGGGATACACTGTCAAGATGTATGTAATTTAATTTAGCAAGTGATAATTTATGATTGATGCTGTCAAAGGCTTTCGAATAGTCTATAGAGATTAACGCTAGTGCCATTTTCTTATCTAAGGCCCGTATCGTCAATCGTCCCTACAATTGTAGGGCGCCTTTATGGCCTCCTTGATTGTCATAGTTTTCTGCTTCTCCGTGTCAGAACTCTATTTTGAGGTTATGTCACAAACATCTATTTGCATCAAATTGTGCTTGCTTTTGAGTTATATCATGTTTTATCAGCCTGAAATTTCCTACAATTTAAAAAGAAAACATATCTTTACAATAGGAGAGCGCTGACGCTGACACGGGACAAGTGTAATATAGAAATTTTTGAAGGAGAGAAAGGAGTATGACAATCAAGGAAGGCATAAACGCGCCCTACAATTGTAGGGACGACTGACGATACGGGCCTAAGGCACTTAAAATATTATCTTGCAGATTGAGTAGGGCAGATGTTGTACTATAATTTTTTCTAAAACCGGATTGAGTGTCGGCAAGTATAAAGAATTTTTCTAGGTAAGCGGTCAATTGGAACTTTATAATTTTTTCTAAAATTTTGGATAACATTGGTAATAAACTGATAGGTCTGAGATCATTATACTCAGTGGGTTTCATTTTTTTTAGGAATTTTAATAGAGCTTGTTTCCGTGTGTTTGGAAAGTAGCCTTTTTTCAAACAGTCGTTAAAGATGTGGACGATGTAACGGAGAATAACTGGCAGGCAAAGCTGGATCATTGACAGAAATATACCATCAATTCCCTTCGCATCAGATTTTAGGCTCCCTATTGCCTGTAATACGTCATTTGAACTAATCTTATTCAATGAAAAAATATAGGTATTCAGAGCTTAATTTATTCTTGAAATAGTTCTCGCAAACTAGTAAATCAACAGGTTTGTAGCTATAGACAAAATAATCATTAATTCTGGTAGGGTCATTAAAATTTGCTGCAAGGGCTGGTTTACTACGAAAATTTATATCAAGTTGTTTGAGAGACTTCCACAATTTTTTGAATCATTTTCATTTGCTAAGTTTTCGATATCTGTCTTTTTGTTCCTCCTGATGATGTTAAGAGCACGGTTTCTAAGCGATTTGAAGTTATTATAGGCATCCACGGTCTTATTAGCTTTATATAAAGCTTGTGCAGTATTCTTTTCATCAAGAACAGTGCGCAGTTTATTAGTTTACCAAGGTGATGGTGGCTTATTAACTCTTACAGTTTTGAAAGGTGCATGTTTATTATAGGTTTCAACGATAACGCTTGTAATGTGCATTACCTTCTCATCAATATTAGATTTCGTAAATAATTCGTCTATGCCCGATGTAGAAAGATCGATACGAAAATGATCCTCACTGAAATGTTTAAAATCCCTGATTGTGATAAATTTTTGTTTTCTTTTATAAGATGGAATATCAAAATGAAAAAATACGAGAAATACCATTCGTGTCCATGACGGAAGAATAGCTGCATGTAAGAGGATTATTTAAAAATATTGGATCGATTAATGTTGCAGTACTATCTGTGACACGGGTGATTTCCGTTACGATTTGTGTGAACCACATCATCTCAAAATTCAGTGGGAATATATTGTTATTAAAAAAATTATATTCAGATCTCCCAATATCACGATGGATGATACAACGAAAGGCTGGGTAGGAAACCATTTAATAAATCTGCACATTGTTGTATGTTTTGAGAGGGTGGTCGGTACAGAACACCTACTAACAATTCACACTTACCCGCACCCAGTTTAACCCAAATGCTTTCGAAATCATCACCAAAATTTGTATGAATATCTACCTTTTCAGCATGTAAATTTGATTTAACATAGATTCCAACTCCACCACCACGAGATGCTCTATCACAACGCAAGAAACAATAGTTGCTAATATTAACCACATCATCAGTAATATTTTCATTTAGCCACGTCTCTGTAACAGCGAATACATAAAAATTTTCTAATGCTATTAAATTTACAATAGCATCAAAACTAGACTTGAGGGAACCTACATTCAAGTGTCCGATTTGCATTTTACTATCAGCCATTAAGAGTATTTGAATCGTACCTAATTTAGAAGAGATTTAGAGTATTCTAAATAATTCTAAAATGATCAAAATAAAATTCGTGAGAGATGTCTTTGTTGAAAGAATTTATACACTGGGCAATTTTTGTCTGTCGGAAGATGATCGGTACTGTAAGATTTTTTATACTGGTGATTTTAATACAAACAGTTGCAAGCAACATTTCGAATGTGCCTGCTTACAAAAGGAGGTGTCATGGTTTTCTCCACACTGAGCACAGACTTTATGATTTTGGCATTTTTTCCAAAATGATTAAATCGGAAACAATTTGTGCAGTGAGACACTTCATTATTTTTGTATACAGATATATTTTGAAATCCTAATAGAATTTTTCTATTATAATCTTAAAAAGTCTGTTTAAATAAATTACCTGTGACCTCTGCGTAAATAATATAATTTTTTTTGTGCAATATACTTAATAAAATTTATCTTAATATCTTCTTCCTTTAACTGGGCTTGATTACTTTCGTGGACCTTAGTTTCCACACCACCGTTTCTAAAATTCTTCACGTCGTCAATTGTGATTTGAAGTTTAGAGAAGCTTAAGTTTTTGTCTAGATCTTTACGCGTCTTGAGGCTTTTTTTGTTGCTGGCTTGGTATAATCACTATGCTTTTCAATGGGATTTCCTTGCTGTTTGTAGCATAGGTCTTTTTTACAATTTGCGAATACGAAGTGCTTGTCATACTTGATTTTTCAATTATGTCAATACTGGTATTCAGTTTCTTGAGCGAGCCAACTACAGTTTCTTTTTCAGTAATATTTGCCGACAATAAATTCAACTGATCTTGAAATCTAGTGTTCTCGTTCACAAGTTGCTCAATCAATCTATCTTTTTCTATTAATAACTGACTGTATGAATTAACTTTTTCACAGAATATTTTTATTTCCTGTTTTAGCTCCTCATTTGTTGTTCTAAGGCACTTACTGTTTTTAGGTGTTTCCGTTGGTGCATCACTTGGTTTGGTGATCACCATTTTAGCACTCTCAGACTTAGCTGAAGCAACCTCAGCAGTTTTCTTTTTTTTTTCTTATTCGTGGAGTACCCAGTGTGGTCGTATCTCTTTCTTCTAGTCTAGATGATTGATGTCAAATAGTTTGGCAAAATTCTTCACTGTATTGGCCGAAAAAATGTTTGCCACTGGAAAATCTGTTATCCTCCAAGAATATCAACGGAGCTGCACCCCAACAATAGTTGCTGTAAGGAGTAATAAAATATTTCAACAGTTTTCTCGAGGTAAACGCGGATTCAGTGCAATAAGGCAAGTCAAAATGAAGTGACAAATGATATCTTGCCGGTATTTCCAAAGCGGTGCATTTTCGCACTGAATGGGCCCCCGAATTCGACTTCAGTGACCAAAGAACGTATTATAAGCGGCTAACCTTCCCGATTGACCAATAATGGCCCTTTTTGTAGAACGATACATATACATCGACACGGGTATTATGTAAAAAACCAATAAAACGTCAAAAAAAAACCTACAAAATGTCATACTGCGAACTAGGTAGTTTTTAGGGTGCAAAAAGTCATTCCACGTTTGCTCTCTAGAATCGTTGTGAGCGTCCATCTATGGAGGAATGGCTCGACTACACCACTACACGCATTATTGGTGGTGTTTTGTGAAGCTGAGTAGTCTATACTTTTCAATTCTGAGAAGAAAGTTGGTTGAATAGCAAGATCGCATCTGAATGATTGTGTGTATTGGTCTGCATGTGTATAAAATCAGTGATATTTGCTGTGTGAGAAAATCATTACTGAATATGCTGTTAATGAAGTGTAACTATTAGTTGTGCCCGACAGGTTATTTAAATGTTGTCCTTTCTGAAGGGTTATGTTCAAAGTAATAAATTACGATTGTTTACGTTTTTTGTGTTTTCCAAAAATGAGGAGAATCATGGGAAATCACCACCGCGCCCGCGTTGGTGATTGACTTGCAATTAAATTGTACAGTGAATATAATTATTTACTGTCTCTCTCATTTTTGAAATTCAGCAAATTTGCATTATTTAATTTCCAGAATGGATGAAAAAAAGTGGTGCGCACCTAATTTCTAGCTCTGAATCTCAAGTAAGTGTATTTGAGACAAGAATCCAATGGAATTATCATCAACACATATTATTTGTACACAAATCCGTACTATATGCACCTATGCACTGCCGTTACCTCCAGTAATGCCATCTGTGAATCAGATTTTACATCACATCAGAGCCAAACATTGATAACTAACTTTTAGTAAACACAGACAACTACAAAACGAGTTCACAACATGTTCATCAGCTAGTGCTAAGTTAACATCTTGTAGAAAAACCTACATAATGTCACAAAAAACCAATATAATGTCAAAAAAATCGACATAATGTTACTTTTCAAGATACGTACCTAATACCTGTGCCGGTCTTATAGCAAATTGAGCAGCTGGCTTGAAGTGACGCACAAAATTTGAGTTTTTGACAAGTCAATGAAAATACCTAGAAAACACCATATGAATCTGGAATCAGAAAAAAGCTGCTATTACCTTCACTAAAAATATACAGGATGTTTCATTTAAAAAACTAAAAGATTGCGAGTATTATAATACACGTACCCATGGGAGCCTATAGGATTTTTTCTCAGGGAATTGGCAAGTGTACTTGCTCCCGAAACTTTCTGTAAGGTGCTAAAGCCTAAGAATCCCGAAAACTGTGCACAAAATCATGCTGAATATGCAAATTTTTAGGACAAACCGGCTACTCAGGAGAAGGATACGCCCACCTACCCATGCGGGTGCCTATGCACGTACCTCTCAAAACATTGAACGTGTGAGTGAAATCCTTCAATCTCGCTTTAAGAGAAACACAAGTCTTTCTTGAGGAAGGGATATAAGCCGGGGCCGTAACGGGACACAGGTGCAGTAAGCAGCTTTGTTATTCAGCCAAGTAAGAATTATTTTTACGAAATGAACCCGAACCGGGACTGGATAAATCCGCTGGATATTTTCCAAGGCGGCTGCTTTGTTTCTCTCTCACTCTTTCCCGTAGTCGAAAGTTTCAAGAGATTATTAGTTTATTCCTGTTACTTTCGTTCGTATAGTCGCACAAACTACTGTCAAAATATATTAGCCAATTTGTATGATGGAAACATTTCTTAAATTCATTTGTTATCGTATTTATATGCATACCACATCCAGTTCGAGCATTCACATCACGAGAAACCATGTCCTTGGCCCCTCTATAACTTGGAAAGTACTGCACGGATTTGGATGAACCACAAGGCTACTTCTATGCCAAGCTTTGCAAATTTCTAAAATCGGTCTGGTGGTGGCTAAGCTCGGCACGGGTATTACGTATCTTGAAAAGTGACGTTATATCGATTTGTTTTGACATACTGTTTTTTGACATTATGTAGCTTTTTCGACAAGATGTTAACTCAGTACTAGCTGATGGACACTTTTGTAAACTCGTTTTGTAGTTGTAGGTGTTGCCTAAACGTCATGCGGCTTCAGTTATCAATGTTTGGCAATGATGTGATGTAAAATCCGCTTCAGAGATGGCATTACTGGAGGTAACGGCATAGTGAGGATTTGTGTGCTAATAATATGCGATGATGATAATTCCATTGGATTCTTGTCTCAAATACACTTACTTGAGATTCAAAGCTGGAAATTAGTTGCGCACCACTTTTTTTCATCCGTTCTGGATTCATTCACACAACGCGGGCGCAGTGGTAATTTTCCGTAATTTTCCTCAAAGTTTTTGGAAACATGTGAATCATAAAACTTCGAACATAACCTGTCTTCCGAAAGGACAACATATCCAGACCAATACACACAATTGCTATTCAACCAATTAATTAACTTTCTTCTCAGAGACTCAGAGATGAAAACTATAGACCACTCGGCTACACTAAACATATGCAACCAACAATGCGTGTACGTGTAGTTGAGCCATTTCTCCATAGATGGACGCTCACGACGATACTAATGAGCAAACATGGAATGACGTCTGAAAATGACATCTTATTGGCCTTTTTAAATTCTATAAGTGTTTTTTTTAGACAATACTTGTGCCGGACAAAAACATGATAAAAATAAAAATAAATCGTTTTTTGACGTGTCGGAGTTGAAAATCTGATATTGGGTAATTTTACGTACTGACTTTATAAGTGAAAGTTATCCTCGCACATTTGCCACTAAAGGTGAATTATAAAGATACATCTTCGATGTACGTGTGCCGAAAAACTTAACGTGCACTTGCCCCTTTGCTTTGAATGGCTAGGGATGAGTGTCATCGTGCGTGGCTTGTGTCTTCGCGTATGATATAACCACGTGCTGGATTGCAACGTTGCTGGATGGTCGTCATTGTCGTTTGCTTGGTAAGTCCAGAGTCAACCTACATGTCGTCATTTTTTGATTTTATTATACTTAAACACTCCCATCCCCCGTAATTCTACGCACCTGTTTGGCTTTCAGAGGGTCCTGATCATTTTCAGAAAATATAGGTATATAATATATGATTTTTTTGGCAGAACTATAGTTATACATTTCGGATCCCATTAATTTTACGTATCTATCAGTACATATTTCGGATATTATAGATTTCCTCGTACACTTACCCCTAAAACTTAAACATTTAACGACGCGGCATGCGGGCGCGACCTTCATACGCTAAGTACTGTCTGCGTGTGTGCATCTGATTAACCCTGACTGCATCGCTGGTTCTTTCGAATTACTATATAGTGTGGTTCACCGTTGCCAGATGGTCGATACTTAGATCAGGGAAGAAACTAGCGTTAACGTCATCAAATGTTTGGGGACTATGTTGTATGGACTAATTTCATGGGCCTGTTTTTCTGACTTAATCCATTTAATTCTATTGTTATACATGTTTGTAGCTAGTTCAGAGTCGTTTACGAACTGATAACAGCGTTGCGTGGAATGTGAGCCAACGAGACGCCTTTTTTATACCTGTACGCTTATAGTTAGGGCGATATCGACCAAAACCACACTAAAAACACACCCTGTGTGTATACTTTCGGATATTTCAATGGCATTGACCTCAAGTGACAGACCATTACTGCAGTTCAAAGTAATTATGTGTAAATTAGCGCAAACAGCTCTACTTTCTTCCTCAGTAATTCAATTTTCGAAAGAGCGTCTAGCGCCGTGGTACAAATGCGATTACGTCACAGCTGGTTAAGCAGAAGGAATGGAAGTATATTTGCTACTTTTGTTACACGCAAGTAAAAAAATGGTGTCAAGAAGATTGACTGTATAATCTCCAGAACTTAGTAGTAGCTCCATGTAGTGCAATGGCTTTTCGTGAAAAAAAAATCAGATTGCAGCAATGAGCATGTCTCTACACGGCAGCCTAATATCTTTGTCGACAATATTTGATAACTGATTATAATAAAAAGTAGAAAAAATCGTTCTACTAGAACTCCATGATGGCATGAGTAATTGGCGATCCCCGCAGAATATCGATTTATCATTAATGATGTATATCTACCGAAATTTTTCAAATTAAGTTTTATGGATTTTAATTAATAAAATATATGAAACTTATATAGAAATTACCAGACTAGTTATTTGACATCTTAAATACGAAAAAATAAATAAACTAAAAATATACATATTTAAAAACAAGCTTTTATTTAGCTGTTGATTTTTCTAATTAGAAATATTCAAAAGATAATAAATAATAGTTTAAAAAATTAAAAAATATGCTTTTACAGTTAACCCAACTAAAAAGTAGACAATAATATTTATAAAAGTTAAGTTATTAACAGAATAATTCAATTCAGAGAAAAAGCGTGGGGTGCATTTTAATACGTGTTCAACTCTTCTCTCATAGATAGCTGTCAATAGAATGATCGTAACATTTAATATATAAAGCACCCCACGCTTTTTACTCTGAATTGAATTATTATGTTAATAACTTAAACTTTATTATAATTTTATTTTGAAGTCATTAATTATGATTGATTGTTAGACCATCTACTACTCTAATATAAACACTTTGCAATTAAAAATTGTTTTTTAATTCATATTCGTTATTTGTATTTTAAATTCAAAGATTTGCTATTTACCAAATGTTGTTCCGTAAAATAAATAGATTGAAATTTATGTTCTGATCATTTTGTTGTGATAAGGAGACTTTCGTGAATCACTGTTATCGTATAATATACATATTATATGAATATTATAAACAATAATTCGCGTGTATCAAATTCATTAGTACCTACGCAAGTATAAGGAATGAACAAAGTGAGAATGCATAACCCTGAAAAAATATCTGCCTCCGTTGTTCTGTACCGAGTGCCGGAACCAACAAAGAATAAGTCCAAAACTGCACGCATGCGCTGATCGCGCGCTAGTTCTATCCCTCTTACTCCCCTACAGAGGGTCTATAACAGAATTTATCAATCCTAGCGGTCTTAATAAGGATAATGGAAAACTTTTATCAAATTATTGCATTGTCATAGGTCCGTCATTCTTGTGCGAAGTTTCAAATTAATTAAACTTCTGGAAATTGGTGAAAATTATGGTCAAAGATTCCGTTAAATACATACATACAGGCCAAGCTTATAAAAGCGTGTTAATGAGGCTCCAACATCACAAATTTCCAAATAAAAGCGTATTTTTGAAAACTTGAGATGAAGGAGCTGCATTCTCTAAATATTTCAAATCGGTAAAAATATTTCTATATTTTTAGTTCATTTGGTAAATAAAAACTTATTAAAAATTATTTTTTACCTTATTTTGTTCACATTTACTCACAGATTCTCTCGTTTTCATCATCTAGTTGATACTCTCCTCTTTACACATGGCCTTTTTGCGGACATGCACGTTTTGATCATAGCCTAGGTTTATTCGGGTATTGAAACCTAGGTCTAATCTCAATTAGGTTACATAACCGTCAAAAGAAGATGAATATCCATGACGTTGAACATAAGAATGTGTCATTGAACTTCGCAACTGATGGTGATTTTCTGGGAATATTTCTAGACGATAAGTTAAATTTCAGAGTACATAGCGACTACCTAGTTTTGCAACTTAACTCTCACTCTCCCTCTCTCTCTCTCTTAGTTATTTAAAAACTTAAGTTTCGCTGGAAGTCAGCTGGTCGGAATATACTACGGTCTTTTGAATTCCATACTCAGATATGGTATTTGTTTTTGGGGCTGCTCTGTTGTGGCACAACATGTTTTAATTGTTCAAAAGAGAATAATTGTTACATCAAGGGCGTGGATGAGTAACACACACAGTTGTAAATAACTTTCAGAGCGATAACACTTAATGAAGTACCTCAGACATTGAAATCACTAAATCACAATTAATTTAAAAGACAAATTAAACAATTATTTTAGAAAAGTACCCAAATGAATAGTTTGAACACTCACTTGGCAAAATGTTTCCCTTTATGTGTAGAATCATATGTATGATTAAATTTTCATGATCTACTGTTAGTAGAATATTCGGTATATTATTTTTATTTGTTTCTAGTCGTTATTATATCTATCTTTTTGTATTTCCAAGGGTTAAGAGGCAGGATCGTTTCAAGCTAAACTCCGCGCTCAATAAAAGACGTTTATTATTATTATAATTATATTGTAAAACTATTATTGTACGGGCGAATAAACATATATATATATATATATATACAGGGTTATCCAAATTAAGTGTCCACCATTAGTAACTTTGTTATTAGTGAAAATACAAAGTTGTTTGAATTAGCAAACTAGTAGCATTTTTAACGCTGGTAAAAATGAGAAATAAAAAAAAACAATTGAGAGTCGTTATTTTGATTTTTTTCAGTAAAATAACATTTTTTTAAATGGAAACCCCTGTATATTATATTTTTTTCTGTTAAAGCATCAAATTTTAAACAAAAAAGTTCATAATGACTTTTCCGCTAAAGTCAAAAATAAAGTCAAAATAACGATAAATATTTTTAATTATTTGCAGTATTATAATATTAAGACGGCTATGAAAACAACATGGCGTTCGCGATTTGACAGCATTAAGATAAGCGACAAATTGTTAAACTGGACATACTCGCAACTAGAAGGCTTTGGAAAACAATGATAAAATCAAATAATGTCAAACATTAGTGTAAATACTTGTTTATAAGCTTTATTGTGTCATTAATT